TTTGATCGCATCTCTTTGCCTTTGTGAGGTTGTTAGGTTCCGAAAAAAAAGTAGAAGGAAGTTCCCTAGGATAGAGGAAAGGAACCTGAAAAGGCTTTTGAAGCATGCGCTCGCAAGAGAAGTGGCTCGAGGTGATTCATTGATTTCTGATATCCAAGCTTTGAGGGACACGGTTCGTCGGTTGGAAGCAATCAAAGGGGTTACACGGAAAATGCACAAGGAGTTAAAGACGGCCTAGAACTTGGTGCTTGGTCGCCACAACTTGACCCATGATCCTGCTTGTTCTTCGGCTTAAGGGATTTTTTTTTCTTTTAATATTAGATGCATGTGTAGGTTTTGGTAGGGTAGTTTTGTGATGTTTGCCGAATGTTTCTGGGTTTTAAGTTTGGAAATAAGACCATCAATTTTCAAATCCCGTTTGATAACTATTTCTGTTTTTGGTTTTTGGTTTTTGGTTTTTCTGTTTTTAATTTTTAGTTTTTAATTTTGTGTTTTCTAAAAGCAAAAACCATATATGTCTGACAACTGTTTTTTGTTTTTAAAAAATAGAAAACAAAAAATGTTCGGTAAACATTTAGTTTTCTATTTTTAAAAGAGTTAGAAAATCAAAAATACATATTAGAGAGAAAAATTGATGCAGGTAGAGATGACAATGGTGTGAGGTGGGAGTAAGGATGCCCTTTCTCATTCTTCTGCTCATGAAAATTTTTAGTCCCACGTTTCCACCTCGTTTTTTTCAGTCCAAAGATCGAGATCCATGTTAACGAATCCTTATTTGCAAATGGGGATATTTGCGAGAAAAATTATCAGTTTTATAATTAATTTTAATTATTTTTATAATTTAAAAAATAAAAAGTGTAATAAATATATTAATTATTTTTAGAATTACTATTTGCTAGTATAAATAATTAGTTTTTAAAAAATATTTAATATTTTATTCACAATCTAGTAAATATGTTAATAAAAAATATATTAATTATTTCCTATTTTTGGAGCATAGTCTTGACCCTCCGGAAAATTTTTTGTATCTCTAATGTATTAATTATTTCCTATTTTTAGAGGCATAAAAATATAAGTTTAGAGAGATGAAATAAACTTATGTTAGAGAGATAAAGAAAAAAAATTAGTAAAAGGAGAGTTAAAAAAAACAAAAAGAGAACCATTTTAAAGAAAAATAGTAAAGTTGGGAGGAAAAGATATGTTAAAGAAAAAAAAGAAATTAGAAAGAGAAAAATTATAGTGAAAAAAAAATATTAGAGATAAAACATATTCGGAATATATTTTTTGGAGAAAATAAATAAATATAAATAGAAATAAAAGTTACGGTGAATGAAAGTTGAACAAGAAAAGAAAATATGATTTTGTTAGAAAAAGAGATTCAGCTGAAAATTATAAAAGGCGAAATTTTATAGAGATAAGAGTTTAAGAAAAATATTATTTTTAGAGAGAGAAATGCGGAGTGATTGTAAAAAAAAATTTATGAAGAAAAAAATTTAGATTGAGAAAGAAATTTGTTAGAGGTAAATATGTCACAAAAAAGAAAAATCAAGTATTAAAAGAAAAAATGAAATTTTGAAAAACAGAAATCTGTTTTTGAAAACTAATCATTATTATTATTTTTTTTGAATTTACATAAAATTTCAAAATCGTTTTTGAAAAACAAAAAATGGAAACCAAACGAGACTTTAATGTTTTGACTGTGTTCTCATCCTTGGCCTTAGCAAAATTTTTTTCTTAAAATGCATGTTGCAACCATGATTTCATGTAACATTTTGGTGCGTCTTTTCTTATGTTTCATGTCCATGATGATTTTTAAAGATGAGATAGACTTTGGATTTTTTTATCTAGAGAAGTCATTGTTAAGACTAATCACTAGGCCCGTAAAATGATAGAAACCTAGAGGCCCAATGTCTATATTTAAAAGTCCAATAATGTAAAGCATTATGTCTTTCTTTATAAAAGGGCTGCAAACTATATGGTAAGTGAATCAATAATACAAAATTCACTTCAAGATTCAAGATTGGTGCACTGTTTTCATGGTATCAGAGCGTACAGTCTAACTAACGAAGTCCTGAAGAAAAATACTGAAGAATGACAAAAGTTACAAAAGACAACTCAATAGTCACCACGAATTCCAATGTACAAGTGATAAAAATCCAGATAATAAAATCACTACTGTAAAGTTAGGAGATGGAAGCTTCTTATTGTGGAAATTTCAAGTTCTTGCTGCCTTAGAAGGTAATGGATTAGATGACTATATTGATGATAGTTTTGAAGCTCCTCCTCATATACCTAATAGTAATACAAAATTCAATATCATCTCAAAGACTAAATCAAGAATACACATAGTGGAAGAAACAAGACAGGTTAATAATGTCTTGGATGCTAGGATCCATGTCAGAAGAAATCATAGCAGCTGCTTCATTGCAAGACAGCAAAAGAGATATCGAGGAATCTTGAACAGATGTTTGCTACAAGAAATCTCGCAAGAGTGATGGAACTAAAGACAAAGTTACAAAATATACGTAAAGGCAATCTTAGCTTGAAAGAATACATGCACCTAGTTAAGAACCTCATTGACTCATTGAAAGCAACAGGCAAAGTTATTACTACTGAAGATCACATATTACACATATTATCAGGACTGGGATCCGAATATGAATCCACCATCTCTGTCATCACAGCGAAAACAAGCTCAGTTTCAATCCAAGAAGTCACATCCCTACTTCTGTCACATGAAAGTAGAATGGAAAAGGACTCAATAGTGCAAGCCCCAAAGGATCCTACGTTCCAGTAGTAAATCTCATGCAACATCAGCAGAATACAGCTTCACAAATCCCACAACTCACAATACTATGATAACCGGAATTATACAGAAAATAACAGAGGTCGTGGAAGAAGCAGCATAAGGGGAGGAAGACACTGGTATCCAAGGAATAGGGTACAATGTCAGATTTGTCATAAATTTGGCCACACAGCTGATAGGTGCTACTTTCGAGTACCGAATCAATCAAACTTAGGAAACGCTCACAATGTTAGGCCGCAACATTCAAATACCTATTCTCAACATCAGAATATTCAGCTATGTTAATGACACCTGATTTAAACAAGGATACTAACTAGTATCCAGACTCGGGTGCAACCAAGGTTCGAAATGTCAACGTCGATGGAAATGTCGAGGTCTCGATTTTACGGACATGTCGATGTCAACGGATATTTGGGAAAAAATCACGGAAATTGTGGAAATTGATGGAAATTTTTTGAATTAGTAAATAAAACTTGCATTGAAGCTTAATTAGCCTATAATTGATCGCATTTAACCATTAAATGTAAGAATATGACCATTTTACTTTGAAAATGTCGACGTCGATGGGGAGATAAAAAAAAAAGAATTCTTTAACGAAGATTGATGGAAATTTTTTGAATAAGTAAAGTAAACTTTAATTGTATCTTAATTTGCCTATACTTGTTCACTTTTGACCATCATATCTAAATTATTTATCTATAAGCTTCATAAGTAATATTACTTATGGAAATGTCGTTGCGATGAAAATGTTGAAACAAAATATTGTATACATACATGGAAATTATTTGAATTATTAAATTAAAGTTCATTGTTACTCGATTATGTTTTATTGATAATTTATAATACAATCTAGTCTTTAGTTACACAATTGAACAATATATATGAAATACTGATATATATATAAGGATTAAAATAATCGTAGAAATTTTAAATGTGTTTGAAAAATGTGTGAATTCAAATTTGAAAAGAGAAGTAGGTATGAGGTCATTAAAATTTAGAAATACGTTTGAAAACCAAGTCGGTAAGTATCTAATTTCCAAGTGAATTCCTATTATG